TATAGTGTTTTCAAAAATTGTTCAAATGTGCTCGAGATGGGACAATTTAATTAAAACAAAAGTATTTCTTATTCTGACCTATTTTCCCATTCTGAGATTCCTCTGGGATAAGCTGAGTGTGACTTTTTGCACTGGATCCCTACATCCAGGGGGCACCATGAACAATCTTGAGGTCTGTGAAAGCCGACGAAGAAAAAATATTACATAAGCATTTTTAGCATCCAGCATAACCAGTGATTTTTTTATTTTAAGGAAATCCATAATGTGTTGAAAAATACCAGCCAATGTACTCCTGGACTTTTTTGATGAACAACGCCAATTTCAATCATACCAACAAACCTGAGGCAATTCTTAAATCCTCTGTATCTGGGCTTCATCCACCACCATCTTTCACAAAGGATTAAGCATTCAAACATATTTTAACAATATAGATTTCCATAACCAGTCTTCCAAAGTGAAAGAGGATAAAGTTGATTTTGTTAACAGAAATGCAAACAAAAGCACTACAGAAGACTAGTATTCTCTAGTTCATAAGAGCTTTAATGTTTGTTATTTAAACAATACGCACTTTATGTCAACAACTTCTGATTGTCAACTGAGTATTAAAGCAAGAAAAAACTGGATGGCAGTCTCTGATGCTGTGATTCCAGGCTGTTAAGATCTTCAGTATAATTTTCAGCCAGACAGCCAAGGCCACCAAGAGTTGCAAAAAGCATCAATTTCGGTTGTAAATGTTACTTTCAAACAAGTCTTAGCTCACTCCTGGCAAACCATACTTTCTACTATCTGTTGTTTACTGCGTTGACTAAAATAGCCAGCAATTCTCTAAAAAATAGTGTAATTTCCAGGAAATAAACTGAAAAAGGACTTTCTTTCCCTCCTAACTTTATTTAAGGGAACAAAGCTTGCACACCCATAGTGCGTCTGTGAAGGTTTTTATGCCTGTATACCTGTCAGCTTTCCCATCACTAGCTTTTATCATCAGCTAATTTCTCATTTAACAGATGGGAGTCTCAAATATATTGGGTTCGCCAACTGCATCATCCCCTCTTCTGTCTTTTAAGCTAGAAATGAAGAAAACCCAAGCAAAATCTAAATATTATTCCACAAAGACAACAACCAGCTGCTTTAACAGATTCTAACTGATACAGGAGCTGAGAAAGGAAAAGCCTTCACATTGACCTGCAAAAGCCTCCATCATTTCATGAAGGGCCACGTTGACAGAAAGGCCACTGAAATCAGATGAAAGTTGTTATTGACTTCAGTAAGCTTCCCACCAGATCTACAGCCTCCAGACAAAGTCACTTTTTGTCCCACCCCTCTGAAAACCTGAAGTGACATTACAGGAAACAAGTGTTATAAAAAGCATATTTTGTATTCCTCAATTAATATAAACTGGCAATGCCTTATTAGTAATATATTGACAGTAACGGTACCAAAACATGTCACAGAATTTTTTTGCATATCTATAGACCGCCTAAACAAGAGATGAGGACATTATCTCCTGTATACACGAAGAGCTTTTTATATCTGTTCTGTCAGAGCTGAAGTAACCAGTTGCCAACCTCAGTCATCATGCACAGCAACAATATAAACAGATGGAGACAGAAGGTCTTTAAAGCAGATAAACATAAGCACCACCACTTTTCATGGCAATCAAAACTGTATTTACTCATGAGGTAGTTATCAGACATTATTCAATATTTTCTGACTTCTGCAGCAGAATTATTAACATTTTAAAACTCATGAAGCTGCCCTCTGACTCTTGCTCTGAAATGTTGGTAATTAGTCCACTTACTGAGGGCTTTTGAAGTACCTTTCACTGAGAAAATTAGGAATCCCTGTCAAATTTATATTCTGGAAACAGCCTAATAATTCTATTGCCAGAATTGTAAAATAAGAACTATATCTTGTTGCAGAAGTTTGAAAAAGTAAAAAAAAAACAACACCTTATGATTGTTTAAATAAATTTAAATACTATTTTGCTCAGCTACTGATTGTTTTTGTAGCAATGCCGCAAGCATAAAGAACAAGACTCTCACTTCAGACTAGCATTTCCTAAAGGAAGTCCTTACTAGGCTAAACCTACCAACTTCCTACTTTATTTGTACACTTAGGAGTTTCACTCTCTACTTTTACAGTGCTTTAGACAAGCAAAAAAGTTACTATTTACATATGAACAAGATGTTAGCAGCTTATACTTGAATCAGCAATCATGAGAACACTCAAATTTAATGCAAAATAATACATAAAAATAATGTTAGATAATCAGACCACGGGTACCTAAGCATCTCACTAACAACACAAAGTATCGGAAGCTTTAAACCTTTATCTCAACAGGAAATAATCCAAATACCTCTTCTCCAACTCTGCAGTATTACAGAAAGCACATCTCAGATTTGCACAGCACGTGCAGAACTGCAGCCAGCCTGGAAAACCACCAAATCCAGGTTCCTTTGTATCAAGGCAAAGAGAGCAAATGAAGATCTACCAGTCTGCTCTCCAGCTTTGCTATGGCTGAACACAGCTGAAGCTATTTATAAAGGAAAGAAAAATTATCTCACAGACCTCCATTAAGGGATTCATAGGTCTTAACCAGAATTTTAAATTCAGCTGGCACCCCCTTAGTCTCCAAAGCAATAAATCTAAGCGTTTATACCTTATGCTGCCAGTGAAACAGCTTTTCATCAGCTTCAGTCTCTAATTGGTTGTAAAGAGATGCCTGAAATGAAGATTTCTAGTCAAGTGTTCATTTTGTATAAGTGCTTTTAGAGACAGGTCACAAATTAAAGCAATCTTCTGGGATTCACCTAATTCATGTGTTGCCTGTAATAGCATCTTACAGAGCCAGCCCTGTAGCAACACTGGAGCTAGACAACTGTGCCACACTTCTCATTTCACCCCTGTAATATATATATCGTGTACTGGCTTGGCATAAAAAGGGAAGAATATAACCAAGAAATGTGGCACTTGGAGTATAACAACTTATTCACAAATTTGGAATTAAAATGAAGCTTGGATTACATTAATCGTTCCTTATATTCTTTAGGCAGTAATGTATTTGTTTTATAAAAATATACACATTTAAAAGAACACATGCTTTACCAGCGTTACCCCCATTATTTTGAAGACTGAACGCTAGTACAACATTTTCCTGCAGATAAAGTAACAGCCATCCCTACTTTCGCATCCCCTGCCAAAAATAATTATACATGAAGTTTTACTTTAATGCATTGTGAAGGTGGAAAATACAATCCACAAGACTCGAGAGTATCTCAAGATAAAGATCTGCAAAAAAAGCAGATTGCTATTTGGCAGTTTTTTAGCATCCTTTGGCACAATATGCAGGCAGCTCCAGCACAGTAGGATTACTGTGAAGTCCTACATACTCGCTGCCTACCGGCATACCCTCTATTTAACAGAGCCATGCATAGGATTTCAACCAAGAGGAATAGGAATAGGACTACAGTTAGTATTCCTGACAGATTCATACCCTCCCATTTTCCCAGTAACTATTATTCAGCCATACACAGATCTGCTAACTCAGAGGCTGAACAGTTTTTCTTCAGCAAGTTTGGGGTAAGAGAATAACCCCAGCTCTCAGCTATGTAGTTACACTACTAAGGTCTACATAAAGCAATACAGCACAACACTGAAGTCCAAGAAAAATAAGCACTTTTTTGCAACTTCTGGTGAAATGAGGAAGGGAAACACGGTCATACAGGTCACACAGGCAATTCAAAGGGGAACAAGAACATGCTTCAACTTGTATAATATCCTAAATTATCCCACAGGGCTAGAACCTCAGTTTTACAATTTGCCACATTATTTCTGGAATCACTAGGGAAAAATGTCTTCATATGTAAGTGTTACAAATATTTGGACTTTATCTCAACCAATTCTTTACGCACAGAGTAAGAACTGCCAAATGCTTCATGTGATACGGCTGACAGCTTAAAATGAAGTTTGCTGAAACAACTGTAATTCCATTTGCAGAGCATTTCAAAATCCATTTCTGTTCCCAGAAGAAAATTTGTTTACCTCAGAAAGGCATTAGTTCTCTGCCCAACGTATGGATCAACTTTCCTCCTGAGCATGTTGTCTAATGGATGTTCAGACTCTGAAGCCTCTGAACTGGAGGCAATCCCAGGGTTAGCCTGGATTCAAAGGGGCTTAGCCAGGCAAGGGGCAGAGTTATTCAGAGCCTTGTGAGGATTCCTGATTTCCAGCTTCTCTGTTGTTGCTCACCTACTTTAGTGAGCTGTTAAGGAGACTGGGATGCAAACTGGGGATAGCTATCCAGGCTTCTGAGAGGATCCAGTACCGGTACGTCCTAGGAACATTTTAGCCAAATCGACAAACTTTGATAGAGAATGTCAAGCTGAACCTAAATGACCTTTTTAATTTTAATAAAAATATTTTTTCCATTTATGACACCACTATTAATGATGTTAGACATAGGCAAAAGATTATCCCAGTCACCTACATATTCTCAAATCTCTAATACTTCAAATAATATGAATTGAAGCAGAAAGTACCAGATGCCTGTCTGAGATAACTTTTTTCAATAAAACTTTAAAGTTTGACACACAATAAATTTGACTCCACTTGCTATGAAATTGAGAATTTACACCTTAAAACTGTGGCTTGCTTCAGGAAGCACAATATAGTATTTATTATTGTTCTTATATATAATAAAAAAAATGTTAAAATCATATATAAAGATTTTTTTAGAAGCAGCTTAGGAAATTAAATCAACTTTTTCTGTCTCTCTCTCCCACACTTCACAGATTTTTAAATAAAGACTCATACCAATCTATCATGTATACACACTTAAATATGACCTAGTTGCAGAGTCCATGAATCTACAGACAGTTCCTACCACACAGGTACTGTATTTCCGCTGTGTATCACTCTCTTCAGATGCAGGCCTAAGACCAACATTCAGTACAAAACTAACAAAGTTAGTGAAACTTCTGGTTGTGAAGACAAAAAGTTACCTTTGCATCCATCCAAGAAACTTTTTTCTTTAGTGATGCTGCTCAAATGTGAATCTTTGAATGGCACCCCATATGCTACACAAGAACAAGGAAGATACAGTTAATCTTTTATTATTGCAATTACCACTTTCATACCTGCTAGAACTCATTCTAAAGCATGCAAAGTTGAATTTCCTCTGACAAACAGATTTTGCTACAACTGCTCACCACTTGCCATGTAAGAATATCAGAATGGGGTATATGACTCCTGTTCTTATTCTTCTTGAATACCCTCAGGCGGTGTGGTTACTCTTGCCTCCACAAGGGAATTGAAGCAAACAAAGATATGGTATGGACCTGCTGAGGCTGGCAAGGTGTCTGTAAAATGTACACATGGTTTCATTCATAAAAACATGCAAACAAAAATCCCTAGCTATTTTTTCATTTATGCTATTTAAAGACTAAGAAATTTAACATACTCATTTAGTTATTCTTAGCATTCAGCACACAGCTTGTTGAATATTTTGCTGAAATACAGTCTCATTTAGAAAAGAGGGCCGCTGTGGTGCTGCCATTACTCCAAATACAATTGTGTGACTGAACCCACGGAGAGATCCACTGTGTTCCTACACCGCCACGTCCCATACTCAGTCTCAAATACATTCACAACTGTGTACTGCAAACAGCCTGGTACTGTGAGCAGCTGATAGTCGAGTGAAGCTCATAAATTAGAGATGCCACAGCTGAAGGCAGGACAGGAGCTAAGCACTGTTAACCTTATTTTGAACACTTAAGCAAAGTGGTTAATCTTGTTTTTTCATTCAACCTTTTGTGTCTGTGAAATAGTATTTTAAGTAGCCTACAGAACCAGGTGAAAATAATTACCTGATAAGGACTAATTGCCACAATACTTTTCACCACCTTCTTTCCTCCACTTTTGTAAAAGTTAAGCACCTGTATAGAATTTGAGCTTTAGCTAATGAGAACCTGGAGATGATTGAAATCAAATGCTAGCTCAAAACCAATACAACCACCGAGAACATTACAATTCTGTGAACTGAAAACGAACACCACAGTAGAAATCTCTGAACCACCTACTGTATGGAGAGAAAAATGTAAGTGAGCAAGTTTGTTTCTGAAGCCCTGTGGGAACACCCAAATAACAAACTGGCTTAGAACAAGCTCCTTCCTTGCTTTTGTTTCCGTATCACTTACTATCAAGGATCTTTGTTCTCTAGACTACAGCTATAAACCATCCTCATGACAGATAAAAGGCAACCACTTTCCTTATTACTGGTCCTCAAGACAACTTCTCAGGAATCTTAGGATAGAGAAACAACACATTACAAAGATAAAATTTGGATATCGGTTGCCTGAAAAGCATTTTGAAAGAGTCTATGACTAAGCTTCCTACTAACAAATACACATGGAGGATGTATTACTTTCCCACAAGCCTTGCAACACAGCCCTTGGGTGCCCACAGTAGTTAGAGAGATTCCCCTTGAGATAAGGCAACTTCCCGGTTATTCCTGCCCTAAGGGCATTAGTACCCCACATGCCTAAACAGGAATAAACCCCTTTATTTTCCAATTAGCAGACCAATCCTACAGGAAGTGAACAAATCACTTATTTCTTCTAAAACAAACCCAGTAAAAATGCTGCCACACACTGTCTCCCATGTTCTGAGAGCAGATCTCACACAGTTCAAAGCAATATTGTTAGAGACATACTCAAAAGTCTGAGCTGCATAAAACCCAACTCCCTTTAATGGGCCAAGACCCAGTAAAAGGCAACATCCAACGTAACACCCGAGTAGGCAAAGCTGGACAGGAAGCCTCTCTCCCCTCTTGTCAGGGCAGTTAAATGCATTTGGACAAGCCGGGCTTTCCTAGCAGGCTCCCTTCAACAGGGGGCTTCGCACAAACCGCGCTTTGCCTGAAGAATTCTGCGTACTGCAGCGGGTGAAAGCGCCCCAGCTTGGATGTGCGCTGGCGGTACCAGGGGCCGCGTTCTTAACGCAGCAGAGGGGCAGCATGTGACAGCCAGGCCGGGCCAGGCCTCCCCGGCCCGGTGCACGCCGGTGTCCCCGTGAGAGGGACTGGAAGGCGGCTGGAGACTCACGCCCGGGCTTTGGGGAAGGCTGCTGGTCCCGGGCTCTTCACCGGCAACACCGCTTTCCCAGCACAGGGGAGGGGAGCGGAGCGCAGGCCGAGCAGCGCCTCGCCAGCGGGCCCC